GAGTGTCACAAAAACGAGCGTAGCCTATACTTGTTGCACTTTTTTTTTTCCTTTTGTTAATCTGTTAATTATATTATAGCCTATTATATATTTTGTGTGATCCTATTTATTTTATTCCTTTTATGGACTTAATTTCTGTTTTTCTCCTTTCACAGAAGCGCTGCAGGTGCATGATACGACGATTGAATCCTCATGGTCTTGTTTACACTGCTATTCATGCATATAAAGCTAACGCCCTGTATAAAAAATTAAAAAAGACATTCTAATCTTACTGGTTAACGATCGACTAATGAGCTTCGTTTGACGGTCAGTACAACAACAAAATGCTGTCATTCTACAACTCTCCACCAGATATATATGCTGCACGGTAACTCAAAAACTTGCGTACACGAGCTGAGACCAGACGTGAGATTTGATCGTAGCCACCGCTCACGTCCATATTGATAAATTCCAAGTTTTGCATTGAAACGACCGTACGCCCAATTTTCTGTCGTACGTTCATTACGTAAATGAGTCCCAAAATGTTCAAAGATGATGAAGAGTCCCAGGTTTCAAATACAAAGTAAATTTAATAATGTAAAACCGCTTTAATCTCCTTGTGAAGCTAAACCTCAGGAACTCTCACAAAACAGATGCCATGCAATAAAACAATAAACTTTCTAATCTGAGGATAAGATCTAAAATAAAACCATTGTTCAACTGTCCCTTCACCCATCCTTATGCCCCCTCCTTCCCTCCAGGGCACATGGCCTGGGTCACGGAAATTTGACTTAGATGTGTCAAGAACCCAAGTTATTATACTTAAATACTGTATTTACTATATCTTAAGAATCTATTATTTTAAACCTTTAATTTTTAGTATCACTGTAAAGATCTCCATGCGATTGGTAAAACTGTCTCAATTTCACAGCAGTCACTTATATTATGAGAACTTTTTAAAACTTTTAAAGAATTCTGTCCTGCCACTGAGTGGTGGGTCTCCCTCAGGGTCTGTGAGAATGTTTTCGTATCTCCAGCCAGGTGTGAGCCTTGGGTCACGAGATCCTAACAAACCAAAAGGTCTTTTATGTTTTTACAACTGATTTAAAGATTTCTTTGTTCTGGTCTGGGTATATAAGCGAAGTGGCAAAACAGTACTTTGGGATTCAGTAACCAGAAAACCCACACACTGAGTGTGTGAATCTCTGGAGCTCTTCACTAGAACTCTCACATGCTGATGTGTGTCTCTCTCTGCTGTCAGGTATGCATCACTCACTCCTAGATTCATCTTTGAGCAATTGATGTTATGTATTTATCTGAATTGGAACAGAATTTAATTCTGAATTGGATTCTCATTGTTTAATTATGTAATTGGCATGATGCATTTACACCTGACAAATAAAATGTTATATCTGATTTATTATGAACTCTCCTGAAATCATTATGACTAGTAGATCATGTGGAGGCTGATGTTACCTCAAATCTACGGCCAGGATAGATCAAACAGAGGTTCAGAGGTGTATGAATGGAGCAGTAGGCACATCATCTGAAACCTTCTGATTTCTGTTTATCACTGATTCTAGCAAGTTGTACGGGAAATGGCTAAATAAACTACACTTTTTATTTAAACTTTTTTAAAAACAGGTATTAGTCAACCTACATCCTCTGACGAAAATCAGACTGGCGAGTTTGTGATCGTGAGATCCGTGCAGGCCATGCAAGCCTCAAATGCTCACTCATCGTGGTGGGCGGATGTTCTCTGTCTGCGGAGGGCTCTAGCGAAGTCTCCGCTGTCAAGAGTGTTGATGGGCTGGGCTCTGGGTCTGGCTGCAGTCTGAATCTGGGGTAGACGCTCTCTAGACACCAGATGATGGCCTCCCTCCAGTCTAGTCCTGAGGTGTCTGGGAGATCTACAGAATGGTGGTAGTTGGCCCTGATCCAGAAAAGGGATTTGAGGGTCTCATCATCCAAAGGACAAAACTCCATCTTATAATCCATAAAATTGTGGCCCTTTTTCAAAGATGACAAAACATTCAAAGATGATGAAGAGTCACAAGTTTCAAATACAAAGTAAATTTAGTATGATAACACACACAGAATGCAACAGTGTGTAAAACACAAGCAACAACCGACCATTGAAAGGTAGAAACAGAGCAACTCAAGTACATAGCAAACAAAGGTAATTAATGACACACAAACTAAACTTCAGCTGAACTAAACTTCCACGCTAGTTAAGGGTGGAATAGAAGATGTCACTTCCTCTTTGTTGCTGTCGTGTGTTTTGAGTTTGAGCTCCGTCAAGTTAATTCTTTATAGTCTAATATATATATATATATATATATATATACTGTATATATTACACACACACATAAACACACACACACACATATATACACACACACACACACACAAAAAAAACAAGTAGATAGAATAGAAAAAATAGAATAGAAAAATATAAATAATTTTTTATATTTTTTAAAGATAAATGTAGATAAAGTAGAATTAAAGTAGAATAGAAAGTGCTAGATTTACATGGTCAAATATAGGTGGAACAGATGTGTTTTTAGTCGTTTCTTGAAGATGGTTAAGGACTCAGCTGCTCGGATTGAGTTGGGCAGGTCATTCCACCA